TTCATTCCCGCATGAGAAACCACCGCGTGGGAGGTCCCCAGGCACCCGTCTGCGGCTGGGTCTGCTTTCCCGGATCCTTTCGGCCCCGCCTGGCTGCCTAGAGCCCTGCCAAGGCCTGGTCGGCCAAGGTAAGCTGAGGACAAGCCAGTCACAAATGCCAGGCTTCCTGAGGTCTCAGGGAGCGGGCGCTGGGACTGCCCTGGGCATAGCGTTGTACCTGGCCTCTTCATACCCACAAGGCACCCCAACCCTGTGGTATTAATACTGTTGTTGTTGTTAAGTGCCATTGAGTCCCTTCTGACTCATAGTGACCCTGTATAGGGTTTCCAAGGAGCGACTGGTGAGTTTGAACCGCCAAGTTGTGATTAAAAGCAACCTTGCAGTCCAGTGTTTTATCCTTCAGCGCTTCACCGGGATGCCATGTTATTATTAGCCCCCATTTTCCATAGGAGGTTGCTGATGTTTGGAGTGGGGGCCTGCCCATGGTCACACAGGAGAGCATCCGGCCATAGGTGGGCTCTGAGGAACTGAGGACTCCTGCTTTAAGTGCTTAATGTGTTTTTACTCAACTAATTAATAAGAGGGGAGACTCACTATTTTAACTGAATAGGTGAGGAAACCAAGGCCCAGAGAGATTAAGCAATTTACCCAACATTGCCCAGCTAATAAGTAGCAGAGCCAGGATTCAAATTCAGGTCAGGCAATTTGGCTGCTAAGCATTTACCCACTTAGTTCTCCAGCTTGATGATGAGAGTGACATGGAGGGGGTGGGGGAATGATGCCCCCTTACAGGATGCAGTGCCCACTTAGCATCTCTTTTGCCCTTCAGCCCTGGGGACAGGCAGAGACTTGATACCCATTTTGCAGAGGAGAACATTAAGGCCAAAGTCACTCAACAAGTTAGTTACAGGGTGGTGGTCTGGACCTGGGTTTGACACCCCAGGCCTGGGCTCTCCCTGGCTATCTGGCCAGAGTCCCTGAGGAAACGGACCTGTGGTGCCCAGTGCAGGTGGGAACTGGACAAGAGTCCACGTGTTGCCACTGGCTTGTGTGGGAGCCTCAGTTTCCCCATCTGTGAAATGGACAGGCTGGATCTGTTGGATGCCAAGAGAAGGTAGCCTCTTCCTGAGAGAAGCGCAGCTGTTTTCCTATCAGTACAGCTGGATTTCTCCTGCAGGCGCCTTTCCACTTGCTCCCAGCTTCCTCCCTCCACGCGGGGCTACAATGTGTCCACTTTGCTCCCTAGCAGAGAAGCGGGTCATCTGTCTGTCCATCCATCTGTCTCCCTTCCCAGACTCTGAGCAAACTGAGGGCCCAATGTCCCTGTAAAGATCAGAACCTGGTAAGTAGTGAACTCACCAGTTGTGGAAACTGTCAAGGAGAGGTTGGTGTGGCAGAGATATTGATCTGAAAGAATGGGGTGAACTCAGAGGGATGGGGGGGCAGCTTCTGGTTCTAAGGGCTGGGATAGGAGAGGGTAGCTCTGTCTGCTGTAGGCCACTGACGTAGACAAAAGTATGACCCCAAAATGCTGTGAGGATGTCTTTATGTGGTCACTGGACAGCTGTTGGCCTGAGGGTAGATTCACTTAGGGAGATACCAGGGCTCAAGCCCAGTTGGTGGTCTTTCTGTATGGACCAGGCTGATCAGCACCATCCATCAGCAGGTCTCTGTGGGGAGTCAGGGCCCTGCACACATGATATTGGGAATGTTTGAGGGGTAGGGTTTCTCTGAGAGGTTTGCTCACTCGCTAGGTCAGAAGTGGACCCACCAGGAGCTGTCTTTGTTGTTGTTGTTGTTAGGTGCCATCAAGTTGGTACCAACTCACAGCGACCCAATGCACAGCAGAACGAAACACTGTCTGATCCTGGGTCAACCTCACTACTGTTGCCACGCTTGAGTCCATCGTTGCTGTCACTTGGCCAACCCATCTCATTGGGAGTCTTCCTCTTTTTCTCTGACCCTCCACTTTACCAAACATGGTATCTTTCTCCAACGACGGCTCCCTTCTGACAATATGTCCAAAGTATGAGAGACGAAGTTTGGTCATCTTGGCCTTCAAGGAGCATTCTGGCTGCATGTCTTCCAAAACGGATCTATTGGTTCTTTTGGCAGCCCATGGCACTTTCAATATTCTCCTCCAACACCATAACTCAAAGGCATCAATTCTTCTACGGTCTTCCTTATTCACTGTCCAGCCTAGTACTAAACAAATCCTTCTCACCAGTTTGAACCTGGATCTGCTGTGATTCTGGCCCAGCTCAGCCTCCTCTTATCACCTCACCCCACCCCAGATACTAGCAAGACAAGGTTATCATCCCTCATTGATAGATGAGGAAAACTGAAGTCCTAAGGGGCCACAGAGCCTGGCCTGAGGCCCAGGCTTCCTCAGTGGCCTACCTGCCCATGGAGTGAAGTCTTCATAGGCAGACAAACCCAGGATTTATGGTCATTTGTTCTGGCAACCCTGGGGAATGACTCCACCTCCAATCCTAGTGGCATCAAGCAAGAAGTGTTTCTTATATCTCACAGTTGTATGACTTGACTGGGCTCAGCTTGGTGGTTCTTCTTCACACGATGTCACCTGGGGTCACTCATGTGGTTGCAATTGACTGGGAGTTGGACTTGGACTTCGCATTCGTGACTGGGAGTTGGTGGTAGCTGTCTGTTGGGTGTTTCAGTTCTCCGTTAGACTTCTCTGGTAGGACCACCTGGACTTCTTTACAGGGCAGCTGGCTTCCAAGAGGATGGAAACAGAAGCAACAAGGCCTCTTAAGGTCTAAGCCTGCAAGACCCAGAACATTAATATCCACGGCACTCTGTTGATCTAAGCCAAGTTACAAGATTGTTCCAGATACAACGGAAGGAGAAGTAGACTTCACTATCTGATGGGAGGCGTGGCGAAGGCACAATTTAAAAGGAAAGGGAAGGATGGCTCTGGCTGCCTTTGGAGCCGTCTATCCCAGTGTGTGTGCGTGTGTGTGCTCCGTGACAGCGGTTGTTAATGAGGCTGAGGTAGGTCTTGCTCTTCCTGCACAAAGTCCCCACGTGGTGTTAAGGGGAGACTAGCCGCAGCTCAGCCTTGGCTCACTGGATGACCGTGGGCCCCACCCTGGTTCATATCAAAGTAATTGTCTGCGCACCTGCCATGTACTAGAACCAGAGCTAGGCACGGGGACCCCAGTGGTGACCCAAGTCTCTACCCTTATAGAGGTTTCAGGCTAGTGGGAGAAAAAAAGCACATAACTAGAAAAACCCATCACATATCATGGTCAATAGTATGAGAAGAGCAGGGAGCTGGGCTGGAGAGTTACAGAGGAGAAACAGGCCAGGCTGAGCCTCTAGTGATGGCATCTGGAGGATGAGAAGCCCTGCCCCATTCTGAGCCTCAGTTTCCTCCTCTGGACATTGAAAGGGTTGGTCAGAGCTGTGGATCTTGCTTCCCAGGGTTCCCATGGTCGGGGAGTGGGGCAGTGCTGAGGAGTGGGTCGTGTAGAGTCAGAGAGCAATGGGCTGAAAGCCTCTGGTCAGTTTCCATGTCTGGTCCTAGGGGCTGTCTAGGGCAAAATGTCCCCAAATGCTTCCTGGTTTGAATGGCCCTGCAAGGTCACACTACTCTGGGAAACAAGAATCCCATCTCTCTGTCCAGGGGCACTCAGGAACAGGATGTGTGGCGCCATCCCCTCACCTTTGACCTTGGACCTTCCTGAGCAGGAGAGTCCCAGGACCACATCCTAAGTGTGTTTCCCAAAGAGCTCATACTCTTTGGAACTAAACCTTCCCTGCTGTGTGACCCTGTCAAGCCCCTTGCTCTCTCTGAGCCTCAGAGGGAGGCTTGCCTCTTGCGGTGCGTATAAAGGCAGAACGGTGATGAGGGTTGTTGCTGTTGATAGGTGCCATTGAGTCAGTACCGACTCATAGTGACCCTATGCACAACAGAACGAAACACTGCCTGGTCTGGGCCAACCTCACAATTGTTGCCACACTTGAGCCCATTGATGCTGCCACTTGGCCAATCCATCTCGCTGGGGGGTGGGGGGGGAGGTCTTCCTCTTTTTCTCTGACCCTCCACCTTACCAAACATGATATCCTTCTCCAGTGACTAGAGGAGGCCAACTTAGGGTATGTGTATGTGGAGAGTCCTCTGAGAGTACAGTTAGGAAAAGTGACAGGAGAGGCCCAGCCTCCTGGGGGACGCACAGGGGACCTTGTTCCTGGTGCCCCCGCCCCACTGTTCTGGAAGTTCTGGGCTCAGGCTGCCCCCATGAGTCTCAAGAAAGGGTCTGAGAAAAGAAGTTAGTGACCAGTTAAACCAGTAAACTCACTATTATTGTGCTCAATCCCAGGCGTGGAGTAGGGCCAGAGATGCCCAAAATAAATCCCTCCTCCCGGCCTCAGTTTCCCCATTGGTCACATGGCAAGTACAAGACTTTCCTTGTCTCTTTGGGGAGGATGAAGACAACAATCTACAGAATGCTGGCACTGGGGCAGCCCAGACGTGGTCCTTGCCCTGGAAGGGCTCTCCGTCTGGGAGGGAGACAGTGCCTCTGCCCACCATTAGCAGCTGGGGAGAAGGACAGGTGGGCCGTGGCCCAAGAGATCAGGTGATATCTGGGAGACTCTCAGCCATGGGTCTGGTTTCACCGAGCTCCATCCTGGTCTTGTGGTGGTGGTCGGGGGAAGAGGGGGGGAATGGGGAAGAGAGGGAGCCAACTTCTACATGGGCACCACAGTCAAAGGGGTCCCTATGCCCAGAATCGCCCAGGAACCCCCTTTTTAGTCCTGTTGGGGTCTTTGTGGAGAGCTAGAGAAGTAGTACAGCCCACACAGTTTTGACTGAACTAGTGACAAAGGTATCCAGGCTATGTGGGAAAGTCAGAAGCAGTCCACGTGGAGGAGGCTGCCCCCCTCGACAGTTCAGAAACTCGGAGAAGAGGTCCATCAGTCAGCCCCGGGTCTCCTCGGCATTCAGCAGGGACCCACCACTGCTTCCAGCATCCTTAGCTTGTGGTGTCCATCGGGGGTTCTGGGGAGGCTGGCCGGCTCAGGGTCACATTCGGGAAGCTGGCAAGAAAACTCTCCCATCTTCTTCTTACCTGCTGGGAGACAGCCGGGGGCAAGTCAGGGCTGAGGGTCCACATATATGTTCCACATACAGCCACTAGATGGTGCTAAACCCCAGGGAGAAGCATGCAGCGCACTAAACCCGCTGCCAGGGAGCCCATACCAACTCATGTTGTTCCGTGCTGTTGAGTCTGTTCCTACCCATATAGGCCCTGTATAGGGTTTCCAAGGAGCAACTGGTGAGCTTGAACCGCCAACCTTGCGTTTCAAACCGATTTTGCAGTCCAGTGCATTAACCCGCAGGATTCCAATCAATAGTGACCTTATAGAGACAGTGCAGAACTACGTGTAGGGCTTTGGAGACCTTAAATCTTCATAGTTCTCATGATGAGTGGCTGGTAGGTTTGAACTGATGACCTTGTGTTTAGCATCCCAAGGCTTAGCTCACAATGCCACCAGGGACCCTTTTTCTTAAAGGAAGAAGGTGGGTAAGCAGTTCCCACCAAGGGGGTTCTGACTTCCCCTCTCCCATGCCCCAGTAGAAGGGCTAAGATGTAACATATAACTTTCCGGAACTCTCTGCCCACTCCTCCAACACATTGCCCAATGATTCATCTCCAAGTAGCTCTGATCATATCACCTTCCTGCTCTAAACCCTCAGTGAGTTCCTAGTGACTTCAGGACCCCAGATACCTTCATGACCTTCTGAAATACAGGTCCTTTGTATCTCTCCAGCCTCATCTCTACACAGCCCCTTTGTCTTCTTGGCATGTGACCTAGTGTGCTTTTTACCTTTGAACCTCTTCTCATGCTCTTTGGCATCCCCACCCCTTCCCTATAACTTGTCTCCATCTTTCAGCCCTCATCATACCTGTTGGTACTGCCTCAGCCATCGCCTGCTGCCTCCTCGCTGGGCTTGGATCAGTTGCTCTGTGTCCCCCAGGCCTCCCGGCTGCCGCTCCTGACTGGGGCAGTCCAGCTCTCCCATGCTTCCATCGAGTCCCTGGGACTTGGACTTCCTGCGCCCCTGTCTGAGGCTCAGTGCCCTGCGAAGTTGACCCTCCTGAGGCTTTCCCCAGGGCTCTTGGAGCTTGCCATAGGAGGGCCGGGGTTCTCGAAGGGACTGGCTGCGCCGTCCTGTCCCCATGATTCTGGGCTCAGTTCTGATCTGGCCCTTTGACAAGTTACTCTGCCTCTGAAATGGTCTAGCATCTCCACCCATCTGACAACGTTCACTTGGGGGCCAAAGGTTGGCACTGCTGAGGTGGCCATCATAAACCAAAGGCCGAGCTACAGCGGCTGAGGCATTCTGAGTCAGCCTCCTCACCTCCAACCCACCTTTCAGGGCAAAGGGCAAACCATAATAGCTCTACTCCTCCTCCTCCAGGCAGCCCTCCCTAACTAGCTCACTTCTGAAGAGCTTCTTTTGTGAACTGACACTCCCTTAACACTGAGCACAGATGGCCACTGAACAAAAAAAAGACATGGGTTTTCAAAAGACAGGACAGCAGAAAAGAAAAAAAAGAACAAACGGAAACAGGGGTCCAGGGGAGGCAGGGGACTGTAAGCACTGTCGTGATACAAAATGTATATGAATTGGTGACTGGAGAACTAATTTGCTCTCTAAGTTTTCACCCAAACTACAATAAAATAACAAGAAACAGGACAGTCCCAGGCTAGGCGTCAGGAGGTCTGGGCTTTCCTCAGACTAGCTAGTGGTTGAGAGCTCAGGCTCAGAAGATCAATGGTGTGACCCCCGACACACCTGGCTTCGCCTCTCTGTGCCTCTGTTTCCTCGTCTGTAACCAATACTCACGTGATTGTTGTGAGTATGAAATGTAATAGAGCATGCGCCGTGCTAAGGCCAGCAAGTGCTCAGTGCATGTGAGTTGGCGGTGGTCATTATCTTGGGCAAGACTCTTGCCCTCTTGACCAGTCTCCTCATCTGTAAAATGGGTCGTGGTTGAAAAGAAAATGAAATCATGAATGTGGCCACCTTTACAAGCAAGACTACCTGTGACCCAGTGGGTTAAGCCTTAGGCTGCTAATCTAAGTTAGCAGTTCAAACCCACCTACCACTTCAAAGAAGAATGAGACTATCTGCAGATGTAGAGTCTTGCAAACCCTAAGGAGCATGTCTACTCTGTGCTTTGGGTTGCTATGGGTCAGAATCAACTCGATGACACTGGGTTTGGTTTTGCCTTGGTTACAGGCAGCAGTTCTTCACTATAAGACAACTAAGAATAGGGTCGAGGGCCAAGCCAGCAAATTCCTTGGAGTAGTAGAATTTGAGGGCTGGAAGAGACACCACATATCTGGTTCTTCTTTTTTTGAGCACTCTCACGTGGCACTGTAGGATAAGCACTTGACTGCTAAGTACAAGATCAGCAGTTCAAACCCACCAAAAGCTCCTGGGAACTGTATGCAGGGTCACTGTGAGTCGGAACCGACTTGATTGCACACAACAACAACAAGAATTTACTGGTTTTAGAACTAAACCCTTCATGCATTTCATGGAAGCTTCTTGAAGTAGAGGTTTTATCCACTGTACCCGTCAGAAGATGGAGGCTTTAGTGTGATTAAGCACCTGGCTGGAGAGTGGGCTCACCTAAGTGCAGAGCTGGGGCCCTCAGACCCTGGTTTGCCTGGTTTTACAGTCCACACTCACTCTGCTCTCCTGCCCCATCTCCTAGCTGGGCATCATCAGCAGGAAAGGCAGGCCCAGAGGTGGGTGTCCTGTCGCCCTCATGTTTGGACTGCTGTCTGGGGTGCTCATCCCAGCCCCTGGCCTGGTTTGCCGTTCTTTCCTCTCTCTCAGAGGGGCTAAGGCAGAGCCGCTGGGACCAGGAAGTCGGAGTAAAGGGGCCCCAGCCAGTCCCCAGTGACAATGCTGATCTGGTCCAGATCTCTTCATCTCACCCATAATGTTTAACGCACAGGCCGACCCTGACCCTGATAAAAAGCAATAAAGCCCTTACACAATCCCCCCTCCTCCAGCATAAACACTCAACTCTAATCCCAGCTCTCAGGAGACTCTGAACCGGAAGCTGCTGACTCACGACCTTTCATGAGGTGACAAGTGCCTAACTACTTTGCACCAATCGCATTGCTGCCAGATACCTTCTTGCCAAGCGCACAAATAGTCATTTCCACAATTCTTTGTAGACCAGGAGTTGACCCTATATCAATTTTCCAGATGAACAAACAGGCTCAGAGAAGTGACTTGTCCAAGGACACAGAATCAGTAGTAGACTGTGACTCCAGCCTGGCTGGGTCAAGTCTGCAATTGGAATCTTCTCTGAGTGTGTTTCTGCTATGCGTAAGGTCTCTATGAGTTGGTACCGACTTGATGGCACCTAACAACAACAACATGAGTGTGTTTGACCCTCTAGGAGTCAGGCCTGCGTCTCCACATGCCCCAAAGGGTCATCACAGTGAAAATCTTAATTGTTAGTGTTGCTGGATTTTCTACTTGAAAATTCCAAGCCTACCAGAGTGTGAGACAAGAGGTTGGGCAAATATCCACATTTTGTTTAAAATTGTGTTTGTTTAACTGATATCTTACTTATACTGCTTGTAACATGATCACTTACAAAAGCTCTTCCTATTAAGCACCTGCTCCTTGGAGGCCAGGATGGCCAAACTTCGTCTCTCATGCTTCGGACATATTGTAAGGAAGGACCAGTCACTGGAGAAGGGTATCATGTTTGGTAAGGTAGAGGGTCAGAGAAAAAGAGGTAACCCCCAGTGAGATGGATTGGCAAAGTGGCAGTATCAATGGGCTCAAGCATGGCAACAATTGTGAGGTTGGCTCAGAACCAGTGTTTCGTTCTGTTGTACATAGGGTCACTATGAGTCAGTACCGATTCAAAGGCACCTAATTACAACAACTATGAGTCGCTATGAGTCGGTTCCGACTCGATGGCACCTGACAACAACAACAACAACAATTACAACAACAATGTGCCAGGTAGAAGAACAAACAAATTTGTGTTGTAACAAGTACAGCCAGAATGCTCCTTAGAAGTAAGCATGGTGAGACGTTGTCTCTCATACATTGGACATGTTACCAGAAGGGACCCTTCCCTGGAGAAAGACATCATGCTTGGTAAAGTGGAGGGTCAACGAAAAAGGGAAAGACCCCCAACGAGATGGACTGACACAGTGGCAGCAACTGCCGGACCGGACAGCCTTCCATTCCATTGCATATAAGGTTGCTGCTGAGTTGGAACTGACTCCAAAGCACCTAACAACAAGCCATGTGAAGGTCTTCATGCATGTGGTTCTGTTTAGTTCCATTGCAGTCTGTGACCGGATGTAGAACAGAGCCAAATGTTGCCGGGTCCGGCATCAGCTTCACAATCTTGGTGAATCTGAATGCATTATTGAGGCAATTATGTTTATCCATGGGGTCCTGGTGTGGCGCTGTGGGCTAATGTGTTGGTCTGCAAAGTTGGTTTGAATCACAAGGTCGGTGGTTCAAGCTCACCAGTCACACCTTGGAAACCCTATACAGGGTCACTGTGGGTCGAAACAGACTTGACAGCACGTAACAATAACAACAACAACATCTCATTAAAGATTTCCCTCATTTTTGCTGTCTTTTAAGGAATTCCTGGGTGGTACACATGGTTAAGTGCTCAACTACTCACCTAGAGATAGTGGTTCAAAGCCACCCAGAGGTGCCTTGGAAGAAAAGCCTGGCAACGTGCTTCCAAAAGGTCACAGCTTTGAAAACGCTAGAGGATGCTGTTCTACGCTGCAACACATAGGATTGTAAGAGTCTGCACCAACTCAAAGGTAACTGGTTTAGTTAGTCCCCTCGCGCCCCCAACTTTACAAACCAGTGTGGTGCTGTGGGATAAAGCACTTCACAACAACAGTTTACGAATATGATATCTTCTGTTCCAACTCATACCGGCCCTGCATAGGGTTTTCAAGGCAGCTGGTGGGTTTGAACTGCTGACCTGGTGGTTTACAGTCCAGTGCTGATTCTACAGTGCCATACCAGGAATCTGCAATCGATTGGTTTTTCCTGATGACATGGTTGTATTTCTTCTAAGACTGATTTGTTTGTTCTTCTGGCAGTCCACAATTCAAAGGCATCAATTCTTCTTCTGTCTTCCTTTTTCATTGTCCATCTTTCACATGCAGATTAGGCGGTTGAAAAGACTATTGCATGGGTCAGGTGCGCTTTAATCATCCAATGACATCTTTGCTCTTTAAAACTTAAAAAGTTCATTTGCAGTAGAAAACCTTTCAGATAACAACAGAATAGATATGTGAAATTAGGGTAGGATTATTCTAAATTTACAGACAAAGGGACTGAGTTTAAGAAGTACAGAATCATCTTACTCAAGACAATTCAACTCTTCAGTTACCGTATTTCTCATTCAATGTGCACACTGTACAGGAAACTAATGTTTGAGGAGGTTGTGAGGTTTGCACATCATGTAACAGGAGTGTTATTTATGTAAAATATGGTACTTCAAATATGCAGGGACTATAGGCTTGTCCCTTTTCTTCTCTGAGCCAGTTTCCTCATATGTCACATGAGGTTGAGCTGGTCTGGCAAGGGTGTCCACAATGCCATTGTTGAAAACACCCAGTGCTGGGCCCCATGACAAACCCGTTGTACCAGACACTTCTGCGGGAGGGACCGAAATAATTTGTCCTTATCTTGTAGGAAATCTTGGAAACACATTTGGTCAAGGCCGTTCTGCCTGAGGACTGAAACTTTAGGATTGAGGCTCAGCGTCCAAAGCAAAGCCAAACCCCAAACCCACCATCATGGATTCAATTCTGACTCATAGCCCTCCTGTACAACAGAGTAGAACTGCCCCAGAGGGTTTTGAAGAACTGCAAGGTCAGTGGTTCAAGCTCATCAGCTGCTCCTTGGAAACCCTATACAGGGCCACTATGGGTCGGAACCAACTCAACGGCACTTTACAAAAACAACAATCTTTATGAAGCAAATGGCCACATCTTTCTCCCAAAAAGCAGCTGATGGGTTCAAACCAATGAACTTTTTGGTTAGCAGCCAAGCTTTTGACCACCACCCCACTAGGATTCCTTGCAGCCAAAATCCTTCCTTTGAAACCCGAATTCTGTACATTCTTGCCTTCCCTTTTCCCACCAGGATAGTCA